CGTCTATCGAGAAGGAGACTTAGTGCAAATTTACAGACCGGTTCCTCCACCTAGAACACACCGCAAGTTCCATCACCCATGGAGTAAGGACCCATTTCGGGTGGTGAAGGTCCTCTCACCTACAAACTACCTCGCCCGCAACGCACAACTGTGTACCCAGCCGGTAACCGTTCATCACAACAAGATGAGACCCTACAAAGGACCATCACCGGTTGGATAAGATGAGATTTATGCCCTGACCAAAGACGGGGGACAACCGTTTGGGAATTTCGAGGGGAGCTCACAACTGGTAGCACCGGGGACGGTGCTAAAAGGACGAGGGGGCTATGTAATACTTATATTGTTTTAATGTTCCTTTTAGAGAGGAGGAGTGAATACAACTCGGAACTGGTAACAGAGTCGACGCCCAGCGTGCCTAAGAGCGGTTGCAAACCCTCGCCCCAGTAAACCCTGTACTCGTTTTCCTTATCCACTTCTTCCAATAAAGATGTCGAAATTAAACCAACCAGGTTGTTCTAAGAGCACTAGGAACAAGGAAGAAGAGACCTACGTTCCTCGTCCCACATTGGTGGTTGCGAGTTTGACCAATTGACCGAGCGAGTTAGTCTTTGCGTCGCAGAGCTTCTCAGACAAAGCTGGAGGTCGAACTTTATGTCTAAACTGGACCGTTACCCAGTTAGAGACCTTGTTTGGAGGACAGCCACAGAAAGTGCGTTCAGTCAGAAGTTGAAGGTTCTTGGCGTACTTTTCGTCGTCCTCGTCAGCTTTTTGGAAACGAAGAAAGAAGTCTCTAGCAATGGTTTGTTCTTCCTGATCAATGACAAGTTGGGCCACTGTGTTGCAGCATTGGTCAATGTCGGTATCGTGGGTGATGCCGGCATTGACTGCGGCCAAAAATAAATCGTAGGGAAGAGCGTGGAGAACTAGGGGTACTCCTTGACATAAAGGATAGAGATGAAGATTAAATTTGGCAGTTCTGAGCCGGTCTTCGAAATTCATATCATCTCCGAAAGGGACAGACCTGCCGGCGCTTTTCAGTCACGAGGCCCGACTCGCATCCCGCCTCCTCTCTTATTAAAACACTAAAACAACGTAAGTATTACAGCGAATAAATTAGGGTTGATAGCGTGACCCGGATACCAGGCCACCCAATGAAAGTACAATGGTGGGTCCACTAAGTAACCCGTTACTAAAACCGACGGTTGTTGATGCATTAGAGTTTGAAGCAAATCTTATTTTTCAAGAATTATTACCTACCTTTAGGCATTTTTAGAAACAGATAGCCTAACTAATGCAATCACAATGTCCTTCCTGAAAGCAGTTTATTATTTTATGGAAAGAGTAGACATCTTAAGGCAACTTCTTTCTACGTGAAACTTAAAAGCTTGTGCTAAATTTAGGCGGTATGGCACTTAGTATTCATTCGCTGCCACCAATTTCATTACTGGCTACGATATATGACAGACACTAAAGTTTTAAATTCTACACAGTTTTTTTAATTTACAAATAATAACCCTTCCTTGCAGTGCATGTTTCACGAGATGGATACCTTCAGGCATTAATCACTGTTGCGGACTGTAGGATAATTCTGTCAGGAGCTAGAATCCATTCAACAAAATTTTACTACCGGGGATCCAAATCGAGGATATAATTGTATTCTAACGGTATGTGAATTATGCCTTTTACATAGAGACTTTTGTCATCTGCCTATTTATCCGGACTATTCAATTCTTATCGGTTTGCATTCTTAATTACTCTCTTGTCTTAACTAGGCTGTTCATGGGGCTCACTCCTCTGATAAAGCTTGTTATTGCTGCACCTTTTTTTGCTTTCAGTAGTTCATTTTCGCTTTCGTTGCAGGCATTTTGGATTATCTCGTCTCTCCTGGCACAACTTATTTATATGTGCTTCACAAAGAATTATTTGGGTGCCGTTAGGAATAATACTTTAGGCTTTCTCCTGACTGCTAGCTGATACACTGACTGACTCAAATTCCTCTCCATCTTTAATAAGCCATCGCGACTTAAATATAATATCTGGATTATTTTACCTAGTCTCAGCCCTGTGTTGCATCTTCGCTGTAGGTATATTTTGTGCTTTTGTGATGTCTACGGAGAACCCAGGATACCCATTTTTAAGTTCCGCTGACGGGGAGTCCCCTGCCAAAAATACTGCTGCTGCGAAAAATCGCCAGAGATCTCCTTCCCTTTTAAATGGGAACTTTGTCAATTCCTCGGGTGTGAGTGTCATTTACGTATTCTCGCCTCATTTAACGTCTCTAGCATGCATGCATATTTCCTGTTGTAGGTCAGTTTACTTTGGTACCTTCCTTTTCTACTTTGGTGTCTTTTTGGATTTATTGTCCCACTTTTTATTTTCTTAATGCTAGCGTTATTATTGGGATCTGTTAAATAATAATCCAATGAATAAGCCTTAGATGCCTTGAATGAGAACTTTAGAGTAGGCTGAAATTTCCTTATCTTCTCGTCAGATTTTGTGTATGCTGCTTTTTAGCTTTTTTCATCCTCACCCCTGCATTTTGATTGGCAATCCACCCGATCCTGCGTGAGTGAACGTGTCCGAAGTCTATTTGCCAACACTACCCTAGCAGACGTATACTTCAATATTCACTATCAACTGGGCTGTGATGGTGCCTCGATGCCTTTCACTCATCAGAAGAGTTCACCAAACCGGCTTACCGTTCCTACTGAGGTCATGGTACAACGTATTCCTGCGCATGCCTTCATATTAGCCATCAGCTCAGCGGTTTTTGAGGCTATGTTTTACGGGCCATTGTCAGTACAGAACACGGGATCCGCTGTCGCTGTTCCCGATAGTTTGGATCATAAGTCCCCAAAGTATCCTAGACAACCCATGCCTAGACAGACCTCCTTGCCACCTTCCGCCATTACATCCACTTCTCAGCCCTCTGAACATATGCACGTTGATTCCATGGGTGATGTTATTTCGTCGGATATCGTGAAAGAGGAGCAATTTCAACCCATGATTTTCAACCCTTCACCTAGTCAAATTACTCCTAACAATCCCATAGGTATGCTGGCTTGTCTGAAATCACAAACCACTGTGATCTATACTTACTTCCTAGCAGTCATATTCTTCCATAATACTACTTAATAAATTACGGTCTCCTTTAAGTTATTTGATCCCATCTTCTTGCAAGCTTTCAAGCGTTGAACTGGGCTTAAGTGCCTGATGTTTTGCTCGATAAGGTGATAGAAGTTCATGAATCTTTTACAAAACATTTACGCAGAAATACTGTTAAATATATGTGAAGTCGTTGGGTTTAGAGGTGCATTTGGATGACGTCAACCCAGTGGCTTTCGCAAACGTCTTGCGTTTCATCTACACCGATGAAATACAAATAGACCCCAGCAATGTTCTGCAGACGCTCTATGTTGCCAAGAAGTATGCGATCACTGTAATGGAGAGAGCTTGTGTTGAGTTTTTAAGTCAAGCGATCACAGTGGACAATGCTTTCATGCTCCTTGGCCAAGCCAATTTCTTCGATGAACAGGAATTGGCGCAAAAGTGTCTGGAGGTGCGTTTCCTTCAATAAAGTGAAAATTATGTGCATTTTACTTCCACTTAGCAAACTTTGACGTAGAGGTATCTGGGATATTAGGGTTGCGAATCTATGTATTATTTTTTTCCCTCCGTCACTCTCAGTACTCACACATTGCTGATACAGCCTTACCGATTTTTCTTTTCCTGTCGGTTTGCATTCTTATTTTTTCTCATTCAAGTATTTACCGTACTTGTCATTATTAAATCATCGGCAATGCGATTAAATGTTGCAGTTTTTATTTTTATTTGATTATGTGTATTCCAGCGATTTGGGTTTCAAAGCAAATTGCCTCCCACCAATAATGACTGCTTGAACCAATCTTAAAGTGTCAATAAAATAAATACGGCCTTAAAACATTTGTTTAGACTACTGAATGGAAAAGTGATAAGTGTCTTTCATTTCATTAATCACGTTCCGTGACTCCTAATTCGTCAAGTTACTTTGTCATCGAATAAATGTCTTATTTGCCTATTCAGAAACGCTACCAGTAATTAGCTTATATCCTAATCCCAGTATAATGATCTAAAGACAAATTCGTTACCCAATCTCATGCAGGTGATCGACAAAAACACGGTTAAAGTTTTCGATACTGACGACTTCTTAGCAGCAGACAAAGATTTGCTGTGCAGTGTTCTTGAGCGCGACACCCTCTGTATTCGTGAAGTTCGGCTATTCGTGTCTGTGGTCAACTGGGCCAAATCGGAGTACAATCGGCGGCGTCTGGAAGGAGGACTCTCTCCCTCCCACTGCCTGGTCACCTGTGATGCCGTGCCGACGGACACCAACGTCTCAACCATCCTCTCGCACCCTACCTCTGTAACAACTCTCCCAAGTCTTTCAGATGTCCCCGTCGAGGCGCTTCGCACGATTCTCCAGCCCCTATTGCCCCACATTCGATTCCCACAGATGAGCATCGAGGAGTTTGCCGATGTGGTTGTTCCCTCCGGCGTGCTGGAAGACTCGATAACAATTAAAATATTTCAGCACTTTATCGCCTCCAAAACTGCCAAGCCAGAGTTACCCTTCCTCAAGCGACCTCGGTGCTACCTGCATGGTGTAGAGGAGGCTGTGCGACGCTTTGGGGTGGTTGATCAGCGCTGGGATTACCGAGGCACTAGTGATCGCATCAGGTACTGGTCTACATAGCTAGAAGGTTTTTTGTGGTTACTAACGTGTGCTTGAGTGGCTTTTGCATATGATTTTAAAATTAAATGAATTATATCTGAGTTCTTCAACTTTTTGCACTACTTATAATTTTGTAGCGGAGGTGGCTATTTTTGTGAATCTAATGCACATGAAAAGAATACTGCTTTGATCGAGTTTTTTATCCTCAAGGTGATTGATGAGTTCATTTGTTAGAGGTATCCATTTACAGTATCAAAAGGCATTTGGTGTAAACCTAAGACTGACCTCACACGCCTTCATTGGTCTTCAATGTGAACAGTTCTATGCTGGTTAATTTTCTCTCAAATTCTCGTAACCTATATTGTGCTTCTCAATAAAAAGTGTGCTCTGTTTCTCATTGCTCATCATGTCTTTAACCTGGCACAGTTAGGTGAACTGGGTTGTGACGCATTTTGTGTTAAGGACAGTCTTCTTGTAATCCTTTTTAATGCCTTTTGATTTTAGATTTAAAGTTGATCGAAAGATTTACGTCGTTGGTTTTGGCCTCTATGGGAGTATTCATGGCGAAAGTGAATATGAAGTCAGTATAGAGGTAATAATTTAATTCTTACTTGGTTTCTGTGCTATGGCCCTCAGTAAAGTACCGGTGCGAAAGTGTGAACACGCTTGAGTCTCGACAGCTCACGAGGGGCACTTGATTCCAGCGAACCCTCGTAGACTGTTAATTAACCAATGTTGTGGATATTACTTGTGTAATCGTTTTTCGCACAAGTGACAAGAGGAGTAGTTGGTAATGGGTGCATGGGTAGTTGTTGTGATCATTTTTATTGCTCCTGTGGCTATTTTGAATTACCACTGTGGGAACTCCTTTCTTGGGAGGTATGCTCCTTTTTGAACTGCATTTGAATGATGTGTATGTGTAATACGTTTCTCACTAAGGTCTTTCTTTGATTACATTCACCACACTACACGATGCCTGCTTATTTGGTCATGGCTTCCATTAAATGCTCTTTTACCCAGCATCATTCACTCGTTAACATCCCGTGATGCCAATAAATCCGCGATTGTAAGGTGAGGTGTTACTTCTAGCTTTTTTGTACCAATGTTGTTCCAAAACTTTGAAAGTAGCTAAACTCGTAATATTTTTGAACGTTAACTAATCACGGCGCCCCATCATCAAAAGTGTTTATTTGCGGTAAGTTTTGGTGCAGCACTCATGGAAGGGGTTCGATCATGGCTAGTGGACGGTTGGAGGGTGGAGCAAGGGTGGAGAGTGCCACTATCCACGTGGGTATTTGCTCTCTACGAATGGACTCTTGAGCGTCCTCCAATGCAGGCACGCATATGTGCAGCGGGTTAGCGGTGATGATGGGAATTCTGCGTCGGAATGGCATTCGAAGGCCCACCAGTTTGCACAGAAGACTTTTTTCAATACTGCTCTGATGCTTTTTCTTCCGCCTCCTCCCATCCACCACCGAGGAATCGCCATTTTCCTGCGCACGAGGGGAATCCAGTAGCACCGGCTCAACAGTGATCGCGCAACTCTCCGTATTCATAATTGAGCCTTCTCTCATTTCTTCCATTTTGGACTATTGATTATTTTTTCAAAAGGCATTTCACCAGTAATGCGACCAGTGGTTCCTTCATCTCGTCTCTTACCTTTACTTCTGACTTTGTTAAATCTCGCTCGTTTCTTCATTTAAAGCTTCATCTCTGCCTCGCCCATATTGACACAGCGGCAGATGCGTCTTTAACTCCCCGAGCAACCATATCAGATAGAACTGATCATTTCGTGTCAGTTGTTGACTTACATACTAGCCTTGACACTCAGTCATGTGCTGTATGTTCCACGAGTTGCTGTATCATTACTGTCGCATGATCTGGAGCGAGCCTTAGGGAATCCTCCAAAATTTGTACGTAATTTAGACTAGGAAGCATAAAGTCGCCTTTTTTGCAAAAACTTTAGATTGTTCATCCGGAGTCAGGTGTGGTACTTGGCAGCAACGACGTCACCTACCTGTCGGATGGATCGCCAAATACCTTCCGTGTTGCATTTCAGGAACCAATTCCTCTAACACCGCATGTGAACTACCTTGCATGTGCCACCATTAAGGTAAGTGCAAGCAATCCCCTCCACCGGTGCGGCTGGGACATCGGTTGATGCTCAGTAGATCCTCTTTTCCTTCTCAGGGTCAGGATTCCTACTACGGGACAGGCGGGCGACGAGAGATAAGCCACGAGTGCTCGGCTGGAGGTAAAGTGACCTTCCAATTCTCCTACGCAGCGTGCACGAACAACGGCACTTCAGTTGAAGACGGGCAGATCCCGGAGATTATCTTCTTTGTCTAATTTCTACGTCACCTATCTTGTGTGATGTTGCATTTGGATGCTCACCTCCTCCTCATTAAGTCCTACTTATTGTTCAATAAGTTTTATGTTCTGGCAAATTCAACGCGAAGTCTGATTAGGGTAATGCAATCCTGACCAAAGTACCAATCACAGAAAGTTTAATCTCACTGCGTCGAAACAATGCAAATCTGCATTTCTCTGTTTTCAGATGCTAAGAAGTCCTGATTTTGAGGTTCTTTTCACTTTTTGCAATCTCAGAAGGTCTACAATTTACAACTTGCGTATTTTTCATCGATCCTACTTTAGTTTCTTTCTCCTTTTTTCAACTGAATTGATAAATGAGACTCATCCATTTCGTAGGAAACGTTACAATCAGTTGACCAAAAGTCCCTACAGTATACAATAGAGATGCTTAAAATGTCGAGAGGGTTACGTTGCCCACAAGGTGGACCTACAGTCATGCATTCCCATTGTCAGGCCAATAAATGTCTGGTTGGTTAGGTTCAAGTCTTCGATGAAAGGTTATTCGGCCACTCAAGTCGTGTGAAGATTCGTGTTCAGCGGAAATCGCTTTACATTCTCGGGGCTCCCGTAGAGGTGCTGTTTTTCATGAAAAAAAACCGGGTACTTGCCTTAACTTGACTCGGCTGTACATTTGGTGGATTAACAAGCAAGATTATCTCCTTGACATTTGAACCATACTGCTGAGAGGGGACGCTTTACGTGACTGAGTGAAACTTGGGACTACATTCCTGGTTATTTGGCTGCGGATGCATTAAGGGCTCGAGGAGGGTGGCACCCATGTTTTTGTGCGGTCTTCGTGTTTTCTGTCGCCTCTCAGTGGCGATGGTGGAGCAGCTCGTATACTCAAAGCCAGTTGCGTTGCCGTGAGGAATGTCAGTCAAATTGCCCCACGCATACCGTTGACGTACATTGGGGGATTTTAAAAAAATCTATGCACATTTACCGCTGGAAAAGTCTCCTTAACAACCATAGGAGTCGGTTAGACGTCTTTTTCCGGTTATAATCTAGCAAATTGTATGAAAAGAATAGTAGCTTAGCGTTTTGGTGGAGGAAAAAATGTACACGAATAAGAGGTTACGGCTGTTAGCACCAATCGCAGCTTTCAGAGCTCTATGTTACGGGTGTTCTTTATTCATCACATCCTGAAACGTCGCACCAGCTTTGCTTACTAGTATCACCACACTTTATTAATCATAGTAGACAAATTGTTCCATTCAGTACACATGAAATGTAGCATTAGTTTTACCTAGCGTCATTGAAAAAACAGACTGTGAATCTACCAGCCATACCACCCTAGGGGGCGATTTTGGACGAGCATGAATAAACTGTGTGTATCAGAATTTCCTCTATTTACCAATGAGGTACGAAACAAGAGAAGTAGGGGTAGTGCGACCATATTCAGGACTAAGTCGAAGTAAGGGAGTTACGGCGAGTAAAGTAAAAACAAGAAAAACGTCAAAATTTGTTTCTAATGTTCACCACTGGGGTTATCTTTTTCGATAGCCACTGTCTCGAAGGGGGGAGCTTCTCGGTCGCCATCAGTCGATGTGCCTTGCTGATGTTGGTGCTCCTTGAGGGCTAGCTTGTGCCGTACGTAGGCGTAAGCCACAGAGCCGGCAACTACCATACAGTTGCCCAGCCACCAGAGAACAGACCTAAAGTGAAGCGAAATTATCGTTGCGAGGATGGTCTGTGCCGCTGCCTTTGCCGTTCCCGAGATATTGTGCGTCAGCGGACTGGTTACTTGAATCTGCCACGTAGTCACGTAACTGATGGCAAATCCGAAGACTCCACTGATCAACATCATGCCCCAGAAAAACAGTCCTAAATAACTATGATAAAAAGTACGTTATTAACGATTTAGTCCCCTAACACAACCCCATTTGCCGGTTACTGGAAGTTCGGTGTATTGTGGAAACTCAGCTTTTTAGTTATAATAAAACCGACCACAAGATTTGTTGGATTAAATCGGATAAGCACAGAAACTAGAGTTGTCATAGCCACGTCCGGTTGTAGTGAGGGGGCACATCCCGTAAAAGTGTAGCCAGCAAACTCACCTGAATGCGTGGGGGAGATACTGTAGTTCGGTCAGTTCTCCAGTGACGACGATGCCAGCGATGAACAGGACGGAAGCATTGAGATTGTTGTAGAATGTGAGGCGCCAAACACTACCACCAATGTAAGGTAGTCTTTTTGATGTGAGTATGGAGAATAGAGAAACAGAAAAACTGGCGGAGAGGCCGTAGAAAAGACCCGAGGGTGATAAAGTCCCTAAAGCAAGAAAAGAAGGAGAACAACTTGTCACAGCGACAGTATGCAATATCTATTGCCCGCGCCCGTTAGGTGGTCCCATAGTAGGATGGGGAGCAAGGGCTAAATTCGATGCTCGCAATTCCTGGCACTTAGCTGATTGATGAGGACTTCAAAATAAAACTGAAAATCAAGCTCATTTGATAGACCAGTTCAGATAATGATGAAATTGAAGTGACACGTGAAATTCGTTCCAATGTAATGCCTATTTATTAAAGCTGGAAGAGGAATGTGATGGTAGTGTATTGAGAAAAAATCATACAAAGTAAAGCAGAGGGGGTATGTTACAGAGGAGTGCAGCAATGCGCGCTATTCATTGCTCACAAATTTGACGAATGGAAAATGACATTAATTGATGGGTCGAAACTACCGCTGTTAAAAGTAATAAGGAAAGTGAAAGAAATTTAGGAGAAAACCTTGGGTACTTAGGCATACATGAGTACACGTCAATCGACTAGTACGATGCATAATCTAAAAGGGTACGAGATTGGGTTATACTTTTGTGAACACGAATAAGACAAACTTATAAGAAGCAATGTGCAGACTAGTTAACTACTTAATAGTCGATAGGTTAAAAATATTTAAGGGCAAGCCATTTTCCAACAACTTAGCGGACACCATAACTATTTCTATTTAACTTCCTGGAGAGAGCTAGCAAATAACTTACCTAGTCCGTTTTCCTGAAGGACACTGGTTATATATCCAGCGATTATTACTCCGCAACATGCAATAGCCTTGCAACAGGTTTTCTTACGTAGGATGAGGTAGGTGAGCACCTGGCAATTATAGCGTTCAGTAAAAAAAATCTTCACCATTCCAAGGTAGTAAGTGATGACAAAGAGATGTTAAATGGGGCGCTGCGTTTAAAATCTAGGACTATGAAAGGATTTTTATAGTACTGTTTGACTAGCAGCACCCCCCAAAATCATTGCAGTGTTTATATAACGTAAAAACCGAAACACATAAAGGGTTGCTTCAGAACTTCATTCAAATATGTAGCCTTTCAGCAAAACCATAAAAAATAGCATACCACGTTAAAAATTGTTGTGAGGGAACGAGCAACGAAATAAAACGCGACATCCAAATATTTGAGGCAAAGGTTATTGAAAACAACCATAGTAAAGAAGACACTGCTCAATGGCATGATCTAAAAGTACAAATTATTACTGAAGCCTACATTCAAGGCTGTTTGCCATTTAAAATCAAGACTGGGAAAAGAAAGTTTGTCCGGTACAGCACTTGAGATTTTTGACAAAATAATACATAGTATGACGGTGACGAGACATTGAAACCAGGTAATGAAGAGAGGAATATCGAGCTAAAGTAATAATCAATCGACCTCGACCTACCGAAATATCAGAATTGCTTAGAAGCCACTTGTTTATGAAGACTAACGAGATGGATACAGCCCAATACAACGAAACAACACCACAAACCCTTTTGACGTTGTAGACACTCCTTGCCTCCGCCTTAAAAAAAGTTAGATTTTCAATGCAAAACACAAGCAAAAAAGACAACAAGTCTCAGACAAAAGCTGTGTATTTTTATATCAATCACCAGAAGATGTATCATCCACCAGTATCTTTTTAATATGTATGCCACGAATCGTTATTAAAAACAGCCTCCTTGTTAAATTATCTTTAACAGCCACATCTGGTGGTGGGTGCTCAACGACGTCCCGCATGGCAATATTGCCATCCCGATCTGTGCACATTAACGATCCCACAAATTTACGATTATCTAATATCTCGACAGTTATTTTGGCACCCATAAGGCGCAATAAAAAGTATTTGGATTCGTCCAATTTCCTGACTGGTTGTCGTAACGCCATGGCAGCTGCATACGCAGATCACAGACGACACAAAAGCAGCGTATCAGTACCCTGCACTAGATACAGAGACAGTACCTCAAACTGCCGCGAGTCGAACATTAATTTCAACAAATCTGGGGTAATTAAAAAGCGTTTCAAAAACAAATAAGTGATTAAAAACACTTATTAGACATATTTAATAACGGCTACTATTGTTAAATGCCAAAAAGTTGGCCTAGTAGTGATCCTAAGCCATGACTAAGTTACTATAGGATAAATTGGAGAGAAATTTCAGTTGGCATTCGCCACTTTCTCTGTCCTGCTCAAAGCGCTATTTACCCTATACTCACAGCTGGCGTTGCAGTTCTCAGTAAGACTACTGGTCTCCGAATGGAACCAGAATTCCAGCATTTCCTCAATACAGGCTTGTTAATTTTGACTAAACTAAAAAGTGTCTAAACAGATAAAATGCAAAGTGCGAAACATATTCTTTTTTGACCCTAAGTTATCCACATTCTGGAATCTCAGTTTGTTGTTTCTTACAATAGACCATAGAGATTACATATTAATACGGTTATAACAGGTTCTGTGTTCATCTTTTTAAGGGTTTATTTTACCTCTTATGCATTTGCAATCTTTTAGGACAGGTAAGCTGACTTAATAACAAACACTGATCGGTGGAATTGGCGTTTAGGGTACACTTCCCCATTCGAAGAGGATGATGACACCTCCGTACCGAGATCCTTGTTCATTCAAGTGTTCCTACCCGAAAAATTTAATAAACAAACATTTCTAAAACCGATTTTTGCCCTGTCATGATAAACTTCTTAACAGAAATAAAGTGACATTAAGTCTGCTCCGTTCCTTTTCGCATTTAGTTTACATGATTATCCGCCGATTATCGTGATTTCGTGTCTCAATACCTATGTAATACTTATGTTGTTTGAATTGGCCTTTCAGGAAGGAGGCAAGCAGGAAATTCGAACCTGG